AAGGCTCAGAGAACTTTATGTTTCTACTCACGGATTTCCACATTTCTTCAGGAGCAATGAGAGTTTCAGATTCTTTTTCTTGATTCTGGGCAAAAAGAGCCATGTGAGTTTCCATCTAGAAGATGCAGTGGGACTGGAGCCACAGCCAAGTCCTGTGCTTAGAATACTGGTTGACGTTTTATGGTGCTTCAACTGTCTAGGTTCTTAACAAACAGGAAAAAAAAGATTGAAAACAAGACAGAGATGTTAATTCAGAAGACATGGCTCAGGGAAAAAAGCCATCTTGTCATAGCTGAAATACTAGGACAAATTAATACAATTATAGGGTTGAGATGGTAAGATTTTTTTTCTTCAATATATATTTTTATTGAATTTTTGTGCATTTGTACATCTTGATCATATTTTAACCCCCTCCCTTTTCTACAACCCCCTCATAACCCACCCAGCCCTGCCGAATTTCATGCATTCTATCATGCATTTCATCAAATCGTTTGTGTGCCCAGATGTCCAGTTCATCCACTGGAGCCCAGTCAGCCTATCCAGTGTCACTCCCTTAAAGGAAATCAACTTTCCCTCACCCAAAAGACGTCAACTGACAATAGTTTTCCGCTAAAGTTGGGGCCTCCTGCCCATGTCCCCATTTCTATGCTGGGTTTTTGTCTGGTTTGAGTTTGCATGGGTCTTGTGCATGCTGTCACCATTGCTGTGAGTTCATATGAGCGAGTTGGGATGGTAAGATTCTTAAGAGAAGGGATTAAGTCAATTTTTCTACTTCATTTCCAGGTTTAATAATTAGGACCAAGTTGTAAAATTTGTTCTAAGAGTAGTCCTTTAGTATTTTTAAATAACATTAGAGTGTGAAAAAATTAGCCAAATTGTCATCAATTTTTAGCACATCTTTTCATCAGATCTTGTTCAGACTGTTAAGGTCAACCTGGTCATACATAGTGCTAATTTTGCTCAGAATCTGCTCTGTGTGTATCAGGCATTTAATTCATTTTTTATATAAATTTTTATTGAATTTTTGCAAGTTTCATACAATATATTTTGATCATATTTAGAACCTGTCCCTTATCTGCACCCCTCTTATACAACCTCACCAATTTTCAAGTACTCTGTCATATATACTAAGGCCTATTGAGCCAAATTTGTGTCCCCGAATGTCTTTCGTTGTGCATCCATCCACTGGAGCCTGGTTAACCTATCTAGCATCCCATAGTCAAAGAAAACCAACTGTTCCTCTCCCAATAGTTATCAGTTGCCAATAGTTCCTCACCTAAGGTTGAGGCTTCTTACCCATTTCCCACGTTTATGCCAGGGTTTTGTCTGGTTTGAGCTTGCATGGGTCTTGTTCATGCTACTACCATTGTTGTAAGTTCATATTAGTAACTTCCTAGCTGTCTGGAACACTGTTTTCTTGTCATCACCCACCACCTCTGGCTCTTACATTCTTTCTACCCCCTCTTCCACAATGGTCCCTGAGCCCTGGGTGTCAGAGGTTTGATATAGGTCTCTTATTCAGGGATAGGCACTCTGCAGTCTCTTATTCTCTGCACTTTGGCCATCTGTGGTTTTCTTGGTTAATCAATCTCTCCACATTAGGAAGCTTCGTTGTTGAGAGTTGAGAGAGGCATTAGTATTCTTTCTGCTCCTTGTTTTGCTAGGTTCCCCGAGCTTTAAGTGCAGAGGTTGCATTGTAGATGTGTTACTTAGGGCTGGACATTTCACAGACACTCGCTCTCTGTCTTTGACTGGTTTTGGAACTTTGTAGTAGTCTTCATCAGTTGCAATAAAGAAGTTTCTCTGATGAATGGGGAGAGGCCAACTTTTATCTAAGGACTTGGAGCTAAGGTCCACAAATGAAAGAACATAAACTGCTTATTTTCTGAGTCTGTGTTACCTACTTAGATTCTAGTTCCATCCATTTACCTACAAGTTTCATGATTTTATTTTTCTTTACTGCTGAGTAGGACTCCATTGTGTAAATGTACCACATTTTCATTATCCCCCTGTGGGTTGAAGGACATTTAGGTTGTTTCCATTTCCTAGCTATTGTGAAAAGAGCAGCGACAAACATAGCTGAGTGAGTATCTCTGTTATAGGAGGTCCTTTGGGTTTGTGCCAAAGAGTGGTATAACCAGATCATGTGGTAGAATCATGTTTAGTTTTTTAAGAATTCTCCACATTGATTTCCACAGTGGTTGCACCGGTTTGCAATCCCACCAGCAGTGAATGCAGATTCCCCTTTCTCTGCATCCTCACCAGCATTTGATGTCACTTATTCTCTTGATCTTAGCCTTTCTGATTGGGGTAAGGAGAAATCTTAAAGTGGTTTTCATTTGCATTTCCATCATTACTAATGATATTGAACAGTTTTTAAAGTATTTCTTAGCCATTTTTATTTCGTCTCTTGAGAGCTGTCTGTTCAGATCCATAGCCCATTATTTAATTGTGTCATTTGTTTTCTTGCGTCTTTGTTTTTTTTTAATTTTTTGTATATTCTGGCTATTAATCCTCTGTCAGTCATGCATGCAGCTGATGAAAATTTCCTCCTACTCTGTGGGCTTCCTTTTCACTCAGTTGGTTGTTTCCTTTGCTGTACAGAAGCTTTTAGTTTAATGAGGTCCCATTTGTCAATTACTGACCTTAATCCCTGAGCAACTAAAGTCCAATTTAGAAAGTCCTTTTCTGCACCTGTATTGTGTACAGCACTGCCCATGTTTTCTTCTAACAGTTTCAGAGTTTCAGGTTTCACATCGAGGTCTTTGATTCATTTGGGGTTGACTTTTTGCAAGGGGATAGGTACAGGTCTAATTTCATTCTCCTACACATGTAAATACAGTGTTCCTGCACCATTTATTGAAGATGTTGTCTTTCCTCCCAGTGTGTGTTCTTGGCACCTTTGTTAAATACCAGGGGGCTGAACTTACATGCACTCATGTTTGGGTCTTCTGTTCTGTTCCATTGATCTACATGTCTCTTTTTGTGCCAGTGCTGATTTTATGGCTATAACTCTGTAACATGGTTTGAAATCGGGTCTGATAATCGCCCCCAGCATTGCTCTTTGTGCTCAGAATTGCTTTGGCTATCTGGTCTTTTATGATTCCATATGAATTTAAAAGCTAGAAGAACCTAGAACAAAGCAGTCCACATTGTAAGTGATCATAGATGCAAACCCAGAATACTTTGCCCAGCAAAACTTTCTATCATAGTAGAAGGAGGAAGAATGATCTTCCATGGTACAAACAGACTGAAAATTCATGTCCACCAAACCAGCAGAGAATCCTTGATGCAATACAAAGGACTGAAGAAAGGAATGACCATACCCAAGAAACTACAGAAAGAGAACAAATGAAAGTATAATTAGAGAAACACAAAATAGAACTACAAACACAAATGGAAAATAAAACGAAAGTAACCAATACACAACTTTCAATAAAAACTTTAAATATCAGTGGGCTCAACTCACCAATCAAAAGACACAGGCTAGTTGAATGGATTAAGAAAAAATAATATCCATCTTATTGTTGTCTACCAGAAACTGATCTTACCTCCAAGGATGGACATCACTTTATGATGAAAGAATAGAAAAAAATATTCCAAGAAAACTGCACTAAGAAACAGGCAGGTCTTGCTATTCTAATATCCGACAAAATAGACTTCAAATTAAAATTAATCAGAAGAGATAAAGTAGTCTCCCCTATGGTTCTTAAGTATACAGAGGATGACTATTAAATGTGTTATTGTTTGAGGTGGTAGCTGAGAGTGGCGGCTTTGCTTGTGAAGAGAGATAATGTTGAAAAGCAACACATTTAGAATCTCACAAAGCTTCCTCTCCCATTGGCCCTGGAAAGCCTCCAGTTTATTCTTTCAATGAATTGATAAAATTACACATCTTTTAACTTTTTTTACTTTGATTATTAAACAATTTAATGCTCTGTTCTGTTTTTATACTTTTATTAAGGCATTGATCTACAGCAACTGTACATATTTAATGTGTGATTTAATACCTGTGAAAATCATTTCAATAGAGATGAGAAATGTATTCATCCCCCTCAAAAGTCTCTTTGCAATACTAGCTATTTGAAGGAAAAACACCCGTTTATTTTCTCAATCTAGTTTGGTGCAAAGAGCCTGGTCAGGAACTCAGCTGATGTGAATCTGGTCTCCAGTCTCGCCCTAAAGGCTCCATGAAATTCAGAGTGAATTCATTTTTCCAGCCCATAGTTTTCTCATCTGACAAGTGAGGGGGTTGGACCTGATGGCCTCTAAAGCCCCCTGCAGCTCTAAAGCTCAATAAAGCTAAGAAGAAGGTGCACTTAGGGTATTGGTCTGTGTCTGAATGGTTTCACGTTAGATGTGGGTGTCCCTAGTGGCTGGGTACCAGCTGGACTGCTCCATCATTCCCTGCTTTGGTGATTGGTTTTCATGAAATCATTTCATTTCCTCTGGATCCCTTTCACCATGATTGAAGGTCACTTGTCCTTATGGATTTTTGAAGCTGTACTGAGTGTTTTGTTTAAGACTATGACTTGGGTGATGCTTGGAATTTGGTGAAGGGTGGCAGGGTGAACATCTCTCTGAGTTTCCCAGGCTGTTTGGGCCTTTCATGGGAGGCAGAGACATTATGTCTATGTATTTTAGGACTGGGGAAAGGGATGCAGATTGGAGTTTAATTAAAATTCTGGTCCCAGCATTGCCTATCTCCTTGCCAAGTCAGCAGCCAGGACTTCTGTTTTGGTTCTAGTGATTTTGCAATGACACAGCATTACCCCTAAAATTCTGGCAAATTGACCTCAAGCCTCAATATGCTCCCCAGATGCTTCAGCCTGGTGTTGTCGCCTGTGTCTTGAGAGATACCTGATTTACCATTGCCAGCGTTCTGGATGGCAGAGGAACTATGGAAAGAGATGAGGATTAAAACAAACAGAGCTGATTACAGATGAGTAACCGGTTTCTGCACAGCATGAAGGCCTTTCCACACTGCTTGTGTCTTCCAGGTAGCTAAGTGGGATTCTGAGGAGGGGCCCACCATGAGATTCTTCCTGCCTTCGCTCTGTGTGCTGTTCCTCCTGGTTTCCCGGTTAAGGGCAGTCAGCTTTCCGGAAGATGATGAACCCCTTAATACTGTTGACTACCACTGTAAGTCACCCAAAGCCCTGTCCTCAGCTAAGGAGGAAGCCTTTTGTCTTCTTCTAAGTGTATTCGTTTTCGGCACCAGAAGGAGATTTTATTATATCTTTAACATGTTTTGCACAGTAAATCATCAGTAATCTTTTCTTCACCGTTGGAGAAACTGAAAGAGTTTTATTGGGTGCTTTTCTGCAGGAACCCACACATAAAGATTATATATTTTCAGTAAAAAGAAAAAGACCATTTTCTGGCATTTTCCATCTTCTATTCATTTATATTCCAGACCTTAAGAGAGGAATTTAGTTAAAACCCTCTTACAACTAGTCTCTACAGCTAATCAATGCTGTATATCGATTCTTCAGCCCTGTAATCCTGACTGATGGTTTAGCTCATTTTTACTTGCAGATTCAAGGCAATATCCGGTTTTTAGAGGACGCCCTTCAGGCAATGAATCGCAGCACAGGCTGGACTTTCAGCTGATGTTGAAAATTCGAGACACACTTTATATTGCTGGCAGGTAATTTTCCTCTCATTGGTTTATTAGATTAAAATTCTTTTCTCTTGTGGTGCTTGCATTAATGTGTCTAGTTCATGAAAAACTAATACGTGATTGTGATCAAGAATTGCAAGTAGCCAAAAATATTCACCAAGAAGAGTGTGTTGTATACCAGGAACAGAGTACAGAGTCAAAGCCGTCAGTGGCACGTTGAGAAATGACACACCATTCTTTTGTCCTAAAGCAACAAGGGGAAAAATCTTTCTTGTTCTTTCCTAACTTAGAATTATTCCAGCAAATATTAGAAATATGCCCGTGCTAGTATCAAGTTGGTTTGTCCCATGCCTGGGAAGAAGAGTTTCCTCTGCCCCTTGAATACAGTGATTCATAAAAGCATCTCACTAATGAAAAAGCACCCTTTGTTGACTTTGTTTGAGACAGAGAAAATCCAGTTGATCTTCAAAACACAATAACAGTAGATCTATAAAAATAGAGTAAGAGGTAGCTTAGTATTTATGCCTTCACATGATATGACTTATCACCTTCCTTCCAACAGGGATCAAGTTTATACAGTGAACTTAAATGAAATCCCCAAAACAGAAGTCATACCAAGTAAGGTGAGCAGCTTTAGATGGTAAATTTATTCACATTCTCTCAGAGGCTGAATAATGCCCTTTCTAAAATGCTCCCACTTTAAAACTGAATTTTGACTTTGCTTGATTCTGTAGAAGCTGACGTGGAGGTCAAGACAACAGGATCGAGAAAACTGTGCCATGAAAGGCAAGCACAAAGTGAGTGAAAGTGCCTGCTGTAGTTTATCTTTTGGTGGGCGGCACTACAACACCCAGCACAGAAAATGCCTGACATTAACGTAATTATTATTTTCTTTAGGATGAATGCCATAACTTTATCAAAGTATTTGTTCCAAGAAACGATGAGATGGTTTTTGTATGTGGTACTAATGCTTTCAATCCGATGTGTAGATACTATAGGGTAAGTATATTTTTAGCTTGTATTTTTGACATCAACTATTTTTTTTTCCTTCACTGGTATGCTTTTAGAGTTGAATCTTTTCTGCTATAGCCTAGTAATTTGTTTTATCTCTAATGCCATAAAAGAATAAAAAACAGAATCCCTCAAATGGAATTTCAATATAAATAAAGCAGTATTGCCTTCAAGCAAGTACATTGGGTAGATATGACACCAGCTATTTATTTTTCTCTTACAGTTGAATACCTTAGAGTATGATGGGGAAGAAATTAGTGGCCTGGCAAGATGCCCATTTGATGCTAGACAAACCAACGTTGCCCTTTTTGCTGGTAAGGACCTGTAGTATATTGAATACCAATGATTGATGACATTGAAGGTACAGAAATAATTCAAAGGAAAAAAAAAGCTCATAGCTTGGATAGATTCTTTGACATAAATATTTCAAGGGCTAAAACCTATGAACAAATGGTTTAAAGGCAGACATGGAAAAACAAGGATATTTCAGTGCCTATGGTAAGTATTCTCACATGTGGCTCTGTTGTTAACTAAGCCAGTGACCTTGAACACAGTGCTTAATTTTTGATGTTGAAGTCCCTCATCTGTAAAATTAGGTAATATCATGGGACAGACAGTTAGAGGTTGAGGGTATGCACCAGGTGCAGTTTCTTGCATAGATAATGGTGACAGGGGGTATCACACACTCCATAGGGTAGCACACCACGGGGTAATTATGATTATTTTACCAAATGATAACTTTGGTTTCAGATGGAAAGCTCTATTCTGCCACAGTGGCTGATTTCTTGGCCAGTGACGCTGTGATTTATCGAAGCATGGGTGATGGATCTGCCCTTCGCACAATAAAATATGATTCCAAGTGGATCAAAGGTACCTTTGAAGAGCAATGCCATTGGGTTACTGGGGACAGAGGGATGGCTCAGGGATAGGAGACAAAGCCATCAGGAAGTTCAGTATGTGGCTTCGCATTGCTTATCTAGAACAAGCATGTGGTGGAACTCTGCTCATGAACAAACGGGGCATTGTTTGGTGGCGGGGAGTGAGGAGACTAGTAGGCATGTCAGGGGAGTAAGTTAATCCAGGCAACTATGCAAATGTCCCCAAACAAAACCAAAAAACTAAAGAGAGATCTTGTCTCCGAGTAGCTGTTGTCTAACTCCAAAGACACGCTGTACTGGTCGCCCATTCCCATCTACCTGGCTTGGAATGTTGATAATAGTGAGAATTGATTAGTTCCTATCTGCACAGTCATTTTGTTCTTTAGATTCTAAAAAATTTTTTTTTTGTTTTTTGTTTTTTCATTCTCAATATAAGAGGTTTCCTTCCCTAATTAAATAGGTTAATGAATAAATCTGTTGAAACAAAGACCTTTGCTGCAGTTCAGTTCCCTGTAGGTCTTTTTACAGTCCATTAGCTGGTTTTAATGACAGGCTCCCCAAAGCTTGAATACATCCATATTGGGACTCCTTGAGATCACTGTCTCCAATGTAACTGCAACATCTGTCTGTCATACCAAGGAGTTGGGGTCTTACGCTAATTGAATCATTCTTTAGGAACCAGTTTGTTTCGATTTTCTTTCAGAGCCACACTTCCTTCATGCCATAGAATATGGAAACTATGTCTATTTCTTCTTCAGAGAGATCGCTGTGGAACATAATAACTTAGGCAAGGCAAGTATGAGCGCTTGATTGCAGACTGAAACTGCATGGAATTGTGCCACTTAAGTGATGGATGCACTTGTCGTGTTTCAGAGCACTCAGTCCAGTGTGTATAAGGCCAAGCACAGAGGGCTGGGTTGCTTAGCATGAGCCTAACTACTAAGAAACCCTTATAGTACCCAGAGTCGGGACAGACTCCTTGGGCCGAGAGACACTTTCAACTTTTTCTGAGATAGGAAGTGTCTAGAAGTTCCCTTGAGATGTGGAGGCTCCTTATACACTTTAGAAATCCATTGATGGTCTTAATGTTTTCAGTGTCAAAGACAGAATAGAGTAGGGGCTCCTGTTCAACTTCAAGTGTTTCAGCAAAAGCCCACAACGTTCTTAAAGTATTACAGCCTCTAATATGCCCACCTTTAAGAACTGAGAATTTAATTGACAGTATCAGAAGCAGCGATGGAAGAAGTTAGAGACAGGTGTGAGCACAATTTTCATCCAGTAAGGCAAATAGCTAGCTCATGTCTTGAGAAACATCTTTGGTAGGATGAGAAGGCGGCCCTTTCCCCTCACAGGTGACTCTTGCCTACATTCTTATTGCACAGAACCACACTAAGAAGGCAACTTGATTCTTTTGAACCGGCCATCTTTAGCCGGCTTTTGTCCCTCCCTTAAATAGCAGCATTTTGTTCGGTTCCTCTTCAATGCTCATAACTTCATTGCTTGGCTTTTGTCTCCGGGCAGGCTGTGTATTCCCGCGTGGCCCGCATATGTAAAAATGATATGGGTGGCTCCCAGCGAGTTCTGGAGAAACACTGGACTTCCTTTCTGAAGGCTCGGCTTAACTGTTCTGTCCCTGGAGATTCTTTTTTCTACTTTGATGTTCTGCAGTCCATTACAGACATAATTCAAATCAACGGTGTCCCTACTGTGGTTGGGGTGTTCACCACGCAGCTCAACAGGTGGGAGCAGATCCCTGGCCCTCCCGGAGGTGCTCTGTGTGCCCTGTTGGAACTAGGCGTGGTACCTGTCCCCAGCCCCTTTCTCACAGTCTCCTCATTTTCAGCATTCCTGGTTCTGCAGTGTGTGCCTTTAGCATGGAGGACATTGAGAAAGTCTTCAAAGGACGGTTTAAAGAACAGAAAACTCCAGATTCTGTTTGGACAGCAGTTCCTGAAGACAAAGTACCAAAGCCAAGGTAAAGGGAAGAGAAAGGATTTTGTCTTGAACAAAACTCTGGGCACTGGAAGCATTTACCTCTTCTCCAACCTCGCACCCCAAGAGGGGGTCGATCTGCAGCAGCCCCACAAAGCAAATAAACATTACCTATGACCTGCCACCCAGTGCATGTGGATGTGGAGAACCCATGGAATTCTGGGAAATGGCACTGTTTCTCCGATTTTGCTGCAGCTCCTTTCTAAGAACAGTGAATGAGGGGAATGATCAAAGAACATCATTTTCCTTTCAGGCCCGGCTGCTGTGCCAAACATGGCCTCGCAGAAGCCTACAAAACCTCCATCGACTTCCCAGATGAGACCCTGTCCTTCATCAAATCCCATCCCCTGATGGACTCTGCTGTTCCACCCATTGCTGATGAGCCCTGGTTCACAAAGACTCGTGTCAGGTAAGACTAGGAAACTGGCCTACTCACAACCCATGGTTCTCCTGCCACTGGCCTCCGGGTCTGACTTGCCCATCTCCACTGGTAGGTACAGGTTGACCGCCATTGCAGTGGACCGCTCTGCAGGGCCCTACCAGAACTACACAGTCATCTTTGTTGGCTCCGAAGCTGGAGTGGTGCTTAAAGTTTTGGCAAAGACTAGTCCTTTCTCTTTGAATGAAAGTGTATTACTGGAAGAGATTGAAGCTTACAACCAAGTGAAGTAAGTATATTTTAGAAGAACTCTCTTCAACTCTGCTCAAAAATTTCTGGACTTTATTTCATCTGGCCATTTCCTTTCTGTCTTCTAAATTAGTGGTGGTTTGTTATATTCTGATTTTTGTTGTTTGAGGTTTATTTGTTTCTTTATTGTTTATTCCCTTTCTGATGTACATTTCAGGCTTGATTGTTTTTGTAAGCACCCTAAGGCAAAGAGGGTTAATAGCTGACAAGGTTAAAATAATTCCATCCTTCTTTCTCACCTGTGAAAAATGAGAACATTTTAGCACACCCCTCTTACCTTGCAGATCTATTTCAGGATGCTGCGTGTGGCAGACGGTTGTGCGCATACACACAGAGAAGATACTTAGCATTCAGCATTTTGTTCCAACCAGGGAAATGAAATTATTTGGACAATTAAAACACAAAAATAGGTGAGATAAACAGAGCAAAGGAGGCATCCAGAGCCCATAGCATAGTAAGACTTCGACATGTTAAAATGTCACCCTAGAGTCCACAGGTTCTTCACAACTGCAGTCCCCTTCAACCAGGAAAGGGATTTAAAAAAAAAAAAAAACCCTTTTCTCAGCTTCAAATATAATCAGACATGCAAAAATATAGAGCTGTGCCCCTTAATTATTATTTCCCAAAGTATGCACTTGCTTGGTTTGCTTCCGAACCGCATTTGTCTGGTATACTTTGTCTAGTTTTGACTGAAGTGTGGCTTCAAAATGTATCACGAAATAGGTGCACTGCAGAGAGCGAGGAGGACAGAAAAGTCATCGCATTACAACTGGATAAAGAGCACCACGCTTTATACGTGGCGTTCTCCAGCTGCGTTGTCCGCATTCCCCTCAGTCGCTGTGAGCGGTACGGATCCTGTAAAAAGTAAGTCGGAGTTTTTCTGTTTACACCGAGAACTGCAGTAGCATATCCTTTGCTGATGAGAAAATCCAAGTCACAGTTTTCTTGGTTTTCTACAGGTCTTGTATTGCATCACGTGACCCATACTGTGGCTGGTTGAGCCAGGGAGTTTGTGAAAGAGTGACTCTAGGGATGCTGTAAGTGTGTTCTGCCATGTTAGCCATCTTCTTCAGGGGCATAGGAAGCTAAACATTTTATAAACATCTAATCACACTGCTTTTCTTCTCCCTCCCTTCCTTCCTCCCTCCCTTCCTTCTTTCTTTCCTTCTTCCTTTCTCTTTCTTTTCTTCCTTCCCTCCCTCCTTCCTTCCTAGTATGGGAAAAGTTCAGAAAAGAAAACCTAAATTGTGAAAGGGAACAGAGATTTAGACAAAATAACACTTGAGGGAAATGGATGCTGGAGAAACAGTTTGTTTGCTCAGGCGTCCAAGTTAAATTTCCAGTAGTCACACTGGCAAGTTTTGTTGACGTGCCCCTGTGCTCTCTGTGTGTTCTCACTAATCACTCTGTGTTCTTGGTTCTGTTCTGGTTGTCACTTGTGTCCTATGAAGGCTGTTAACTGAGGACTTCTTTGCTTTCCGTAACCACAGCGCTGGAGGTTATGAACAAGATGCGGAGTATGGCAACACGGCCCACCTAGGGGACTGCCACGGTAAGACAGAGCCCTCCGTCCCTTCCATTGCTTCTTTTGATCACCTTTGCACGGAAACATTATTTTACAATCAGCCTTTTTAATGACTCGGGACACATACCACCTAGCATTTAACTTCGCAAAAGCTGAGCTGTTTGGTCATGGGGATCCATTAGAGAAGAGGCTTTATTTTTCTTTTCCTTCACTGTTTGCAATTTTGTAAAAAAAAAAAAAAAGAAATCTACAGAAAGGTAGTCTAACCAATAGGTTGATCTTTTAATTTGTAGTCTTTTCTTTTGACTTTTTTCGGTTAATTGGAATTCATAAATTTTTTGCTTTCTTTCGGTTACTTTTCACTGATTACTTGTTCCTTTAATTCTTTTAGAAATTTTGCCTACTTCAACTACACCAGATTACCAAATATTTGGCGGTCCAACATCTGGTTAGTTTTTTTAATTTTTTTGAATTAACAATCTTTTCTTTCCTTCAGTTCAGCCCCTCCTCCCCTCCTTTTGCGCAGTTGGCAGTCCTTCATTTTTCTGCTTTGACTCATAACCTCACTGATGGTCCTGAAAGACTTTTTCTCACTCAGCACTTGACCCTGTGTAGCATGTTAACAGTTCATCACTGACCAAGGCACATCCTTTCAGAAAAGTCAAATGGGTCGACATAACTGCATCCCAGCTGCACGCCCGCCCAAGCTTCCTTCTCAGCCCTTTGCATTGTGAATGCTCCCTCTGGCCATCCGTACTCAATGGATGACACAATGGCACAATCCTTACCTTTCCTAAGGCCAAGTAATGGACAAATACACATTTCCCCAAAATGTGTATTTCTAAGTTTTAAAGATCTTTTTTTGAATGTTTTGTGGCATTCCCGGGACTATCTGAATGTTGTGTTCCCAGTGCTGCGCAAGAGGCTTCAGCTGAATGAAGCTGGATTTTGATGTGTGAAGATGTGCACTGGGGTCTCCATGCACATCTGTCTTTGTTTGTTGAAGTCTCCATCTGTGACTGTTGGACCAGTCTAAACTATGCTCTCGGGTTTTAGCCTAAAAGCATATGTTTCCATATCCATGGAAATCTGCTAGGTGAGAGTTGGTAACAGACACACTGAAGGGTTAAGGCTCTCTTCGTCCTATGCTGCTTCTATAGGGCTCAAGGCAGTTTCATCCTTTTGAGGGGGAGGAAAGGATGGCCAATCTTATGTATCCCAACATCCTCATGCAGTTCGTAAATGCCATTGCTTTTGCATGAGTTGCTGGCTAACTCTTTGGAAGAAGCTCCCCAGGCATTTTGGAGAATGCAACAGTTTGTGCTCCCCCGTGGACAGAGGCTGTCAGTACAGGGAGAAAACTACAAAATGAACAGGAGGCCCTGGAGAAGCAGAGCTGCCTCTTAGGCAGAGCGGGTTTGTCAGGTTCAAATCAAGTGTTTACTTGGACATGACCAGGTATTTTCTAAATGAAATTACACTGTAGCTCTCCAGTGAAGGGTATGAGACCTCAGCCATTTATGAAAGTACTCTGTAAAACCACATAAAAAACAAATGTATCCCAAGAGCCTGGGAGAAACGTAAGGAGCCTGAATTCGACTTGTATTCCGATCTCCATGACAGGCTTCAGTAGGAATGTTTGAATGTCTTTAATTTGAAATCTGCTCAATATGCCTTCACTGTTAGTTTCTATTCTTCTCTTGTAAGAAAGGGATTTGGTGAAGTCTCCTCAGGTGTGTTTTTACGAAATTCTAGACACGCTTTCTCATACCATTTACTTAAACTTTAAAACGCAACAAGCCAATCAGAAAAGTCTTCCGATACCACCCATGTTAACGGACATCTGTTTGCCACCACAGACATGGAGGTATCTTCGTCTTCTGTTACCACAGTGGCAAGTATCCCAGAAATTACACCCAAAGTGATTGATACCTGGAGACCTAAACTGACGAGCTCCCGGAAATTTGTAGTTCAAGATGACCCAAACACTTCTGATTTTACTGATACTTTATCAGGTATCCCAAAGGGTAAGGCCTCACCAGGCACCTCATCTCTAACTGCATGGAAACCTGATTCCTGACATGGTCAGAGAGCTTGGCTCTCAGAGGTGAACCTAACCGGAACTGCAGCTGCTTTCCTGTAACCCCACTGGCCACAGTGACTTTGGTCTTGTGGTTAAGTCTGAGTGCATTCCAAAAGGCTGTAAGGGGCAGAAAGCTGTTAAAGACATGGCTCCTGAAACAGCCACTCAGACAGTCTAATCTATGTTGGTTTGAGCCTGAAGCAGCTGAGAGCCTACTGAATATCAGAGGATGCTGGCGGTCCCCCTCACAACATCCAACAGCAAAAACTCACTGCTGGACAAATCCCGTTATCAAAGGTTCTGTCTGGAAACCTTTCCCAGCCTCTTGCTCAGCATCAATTCAAAACGCAATATGGTGAGGACACGTTAGGTAACAAGTTCCTGAAATGCCACAAGCAGCAAAGCATGACAGAGTGCCTGTCCGTAGCTACCACTTCCAGCCCACAGTAGCGGCAGCTACGAAACAGCTGCCTGATGAATTTGCTTATGATATTTATTACCCCAGAAAAAGTCTATTCCTTTGCGCATCCTAAGCTGTGGTATCAGGTTTCCAGTCAGTTCTTATGACACTGCCTTGTCATTTATGATTTACTTCTGTTGATTTTCATTTTTATATTTTCATTGCAAAATATTTTATAATCATTATTTTTGTTTTGATTTCTTCAGTAATACCATGTCTTTCTACTTTTCTCTCTGGTCCTTTCATAATCCCATTAAATTCCATATCTCTGAACACTGATTAAAAACATCTAATATTCAAAGGCCTTAGTACTAACCTAAATGCCAGAGAATCCTCCAAATCCCTCTGACTCATTTATTCTGGGATAGCTGTGTATAACGTGTAACAGACTTGGATACCTCTTAAACTAACATTTCTTTAACTGACTGTTAGATGTCTGTGGTTGCATTGAATTTTCCAAAATAATTGCAAACTAATTCAGTCTTCTCTTTCTAGGTCTAATTTGAGTATTTCTCTAGTACTTCCCAATAATTTGATATTGCTTAACTAATATGTAGACTATTTTCCTATACTGTCCAGCTTTCTTACCTAGTAGGTCATTCAAGAGGGTTCCATCACAAGATGAAATTTTAAAACAAAACATGAAAAGAAACCCAAAAGTCTATATTTGTGTCTAATAATGACCAAGTAGATGCTTTTAATTTGTGAACCAATTATATGATTTTTTTCTAGTTCGCATGATTGTATTAGCATAATTATTTTAGCATAATATATATTTTTGTTAATTTGTACATTTCCATAATGCCAGCAGCTGTTCTTTAATCCTGATGTAGGAAGTAGGTTAAAATCATGAGACAAAACATTTCCTGGGACCTTCTAACTCTACTTTTTAGATAGAAACTCTTAAAATTTCTAACAACTGTTTAAGAGAGATTGGAACAAAGGAGAATAAAGCCCAGGTCAATGGAAGATTAGAATGAACTTGTAGATCCTGACATTTGTAACAATCGTGTATGTCTCTGGGGATTCTACTGTGCTTTCAGAGAAAAAACATACATGTGAAATATTGGAATCTACTTGAGCATGTGGACCTGCTTGAAGGTAGTGTCGGTTCGGTGGAAGTCATTTTCTATTTAATGTTGCTTCTCAAAAGCATGTCATTCAAACTCTTTATATGTGTCTGTTGCAGGTGTACGATGGGAAGTCCAGTCTGGGGAGTCCAACCAGATGGTGCACATGAACGTCCTCATCACCTGTGTCTTTGCTGCGTTTGTCCTGGGCGCATTCATTGCAGGAGTGGCAGTATACTGCTATCGTGACATGTTCGTTAGGAAGAACAGAAAGATCCATAAAGATGCGGAATCTGCCCAGTCCTGCACAGACTCCAGTGGAAGTTTTGCCAAGCTGAATGGTCTCTTTGACAGTCCCGTCAAGGAATACCAACAGAACATTGATTCTCCTAAACTCTATAGCAACCTGCTGACCAGTCGGAAGGAGCTGCCACCCAATGGGGATACAAAGTCCATGGTCATGGACCATCGAGGCCAGCCTCCAGAACTCGCTGCTCTTCCTACCCCAGAGTCCACACCGGTACTCCACCAGAAGACCCTGCAGGCCATGAAGAGCCACTCAGACAAGGCCCACAGTCATGGTGCTTCAAGGAAAGAACCCCCTCAGTTTTTTCCTTCTAGTCCTCCACCCCACTCCCCATTAAGTCATGGGCATATCCCCAGTGCTATTGTTCTTCCAAATGCTACCCATGATTATAATACATCTTTCTCAAACTCCAATGCTCACAAAGCTGAAAAGAAGCTTCAAAACATTGATCACCCTCTTACGAAGTCATCCAGTAAGAGGGATCACCGGCGTTCTGTGGATTCCAGAAATACCCTCAATGATCTCCTGAAGCACTTAAATGACCCAAATAGTAACCCCAAAGCCATCATGGGAGAAATCCACATGGCCCATCAAACCCTCATGCTGGATCCCGTGGGACCTATGTCTGAGGTCCCACCAAAGGTCCCTAATAGGGAAGCATCTCTCTACTCCCCTCCTTCAACACTCCCCAGAAATAGTCCAACCAAGCGAGTGGATGTCCCCACCACTCCTGGGGTCCCAATGACTTCTCTGGAAAGACAAAGGGGCTATCATAAAAATTCCTCCCAGAGGCACTCTATATCTGCTCTGCCTAAAAACTTAAACTCACCAAATGGTGTTTTGTTATCCAGACAGCCCAGTATGAACCGTGGAGGATATATGCCCACCCCCACAGGGGCGAAGGTAGACTATATTCAGGGGACTCCAGTGAGTGTCCATCTGCAGCCTTCCCTTTCCAGACAGAGCAGCTACACCAGTAATGGCACCCTACCCAGGACGGGACTAAAGAGGACACCGTCCTTAAAACCTGATGTGCCACCAAAGCCTTCCTTCGTTCCTCAAACCACATCTGTCAGACCACTGAACAAATACACTTACTAGGCCTCAAGTGTGCTATTTCTGTGTGGCTTTACGCTGTCTGTGTTGTTGAAAGGATGCTGTAAGGGTACCTTAAGACGAGAGACCTGCTTGTGTTTTAAGAGAAACAAGTAGCCAAAGAAACTCTTACTTTGGCAACATCAGAACTTGCCACATGTAGCTACCGCAGCAAGGCTTCTGTGTACTTGTCTGAGAACAAAGGAAGGTGCTGGTCATTCCATTTCTTTTGTTTGATGCTAACATGGTGTGTAGCTCTGAAGGGCTACCTTAACCAGTATAAAGAGCTGATACAGTACTCAGAAGAATCTGTGAACAAATACTTGAAAATGGGTTCAATTTAGACTGCCGTTATGTGTGGTCTTCCCATTAAATGTGAACATTTTAATATGTATGCATTCACCTTGCCTCTTGCACAAATGTCAAAAATTAAAATATGGTAATGTCTCAAAAAAAATGAACTTGTAGATTACCAAGCAGTTTGCTAAAAATTCAGTCTTTGACCCAAACTGTAGCAATTGTTTTTCACATGTGGCATTTTTTTCCATGCCACCAACCAACTATGTTGGAGGTTTGTGTGGGTATCTTTGGTGTGTGTGTGTGTGTGTGTGTGTGTGTGTGTGTGTGTGTGTGTGTGTGTGTGTGTGTGTATTTCTGTGTGTATAGGGGGTGGGGGTTTGAAGCCATTCTTGGGCTACATGAGACCCAATTTCACAGAGAGAGAGAGAGAGAGAGAGAGAGAGAGAGAGAGAGAGAGAGAGAGAGAGAATGTTCTCTACCCATTAGGATTTATTTAGGTGCCCATTGCATCTTTTTGTACTGTGGAGTTGTTTACATTAAGCATCACTGAACAAGAACACTAACTTCCTCCCACATCAGTCCATTGGGTTCAGCTCTGAGAAAGGAACAGTCGAGGCTCCTTTGACAGTCAAAATAATGAGCTTCGCCTCTGTGGTACCCAACGTCAGAATGTTAAGCGTTCTAAGTAATTTTGTGCTGCTATTCATTAAAACTTCTATTCCAGCCTTGCCAGCATAAGAAGTTAAGAGACATTAAGCAGTATCCTTGATATATCTACCAGTATTCAGTAGTACAATTTACCTGTCCACTGTGAATCAAAGCCTGAGGCACGCTACTTAACCTTGGACACACTAATAAGGAATTGTTTTGATTGTGTTGTTCTATTTTTTTTCCCATATAGCAAAATATATCTTTCTTTAACTCCTCCTACCCCCAAGGCAAAAGAGAAGACCAAAACAGAGGACAAAAGACAGAGAAGGAATCATAATTGGCTTAACAGGGAGGGTCTGTGGAAACTATCAGTGTGCGACCATGTTGTCTACGTTGTGTTGTGTGAGGATTTTCTTCTGAGTCATGCAGGCAGTGACAGTATACTGTAAATACCACATGTGAGTTTACCTGAATCTGTGCATTTTGTGCCTTATTCATGAGAATGATGGAAGTACTAAAGTCCATCAAGTGTTTTCACGATAGCGCATCATTTACTGTATGCCAGTTGTAAACGTTTTTCAGCCAGCACCTGAAGACTTTCAAAAACCAATCACAAAAGCAACCGAGAACAGTTAGTTGTTGAGCAGTCCCCCAGAGTCAGTAGCAGCCTCCATATTCTGCCGTGATAAACATTCCGCTCCTGCTTCCTGAGGATGAAACAGTGATAATGTGAAGTCAGGTGAGGTTTCTGGGAATCGTGGCACCTGTGGAAACCTTGTCGAGAGTCATTTCTGTGTAGCTTGGCAGAGTCCACTGACGGTTGATAATGTGTCACCTGCTGACTCCTTCAGTTACTATGCTGCACACAACCCAATCATTTATTGAACCTAATCTAGAAATTACCACAACCTAGGAAGGCTCCTGACCTAGTCAGGCAATAAGTTCAGCTGATTTCTTGTGCTAGCACTGATGGCATACATTACTTGGGGGAAGTTGGGGTGCAGAAGACCAGATCATTTTTATACAGAATGTAGAATACTGATAGTTGTTCTTTTCTTTTGAGAACATTGTTTTACAGAGAACATGATTTCCTGTGATCTTTTGGAAGAGACATCACAAGAAACATCATTTTAAGAAACATCTATTCTTAGAACACTTCAACTTTGCAACTAAAATATTACAGATTAATAAATTAAACAACCAATGATAAACACTACTCAGTCCACACCAAGAAACGTCTGAATTTACCTTACCAATATTAATCCCAGTGTGGTGACTCTGTGTGACCCCAGATAACATTTTGTAACATTGTGCTGCCTTATAGTTTGTAATGTGAGTTCCATCAGTATTTATGTTGAAATTTCTAACATGGATTCTAGTCTCTATTCTGTTAATTTAATTTTAAATACTTTATCCATTTGTGCAAAGGTAAACACAGATTGTATCTTTTTTAATGGTACGGCATAAAAAGTAACCCTAAGGTGAAGTGGCTCTATACTGTTTTATAGAGTACTTTAACATGTATAGATATCTTGTAAACTTGTATTGTGGATGTGTAAATAATATGTACTTTGGGTTTTTAACACCGCATGTAAAGTCAAAATAAAATATCCAAATCATTATATCCTGCCTTTTGATATTGGAGAGGTTTATACTGTATTTAACACTATATTTCTTTAAAAGCCTACCAAAATATTCTTATCTGGAACGTTTGTCACCAGTCACAGTTATTCTCTCCTTGAAAGACTGATATTGAAGGCCAGAGCCTAAAATGAGAAACAGCTCAGAAAATCAGAGGAGCACCTCATTGACAGTCAAGGCTCCAGGCACACACCAGCACCCCACACTGTCCCTAGATTTAGTTCAACAGATATTTTAGAATGTATAGTTTGTGGGTTGGGAAGAAGGCTCCAGGGGCAAAGACTTGCTATGCAAGTGTGAATCCCCTGCACCCACGTAAAATTAGGCACAATAGCAGCTCTGTAATTCTAGTGCTCCTCAGGGCAAATAGGAGGCAGCGAAAGGAGGGTCCCCAAAGCTCACAGGCAACCTAGTCTATACTGTGTGCAAAAGTAAGAACTTCTCAAGGTGGACCACCTACACCCAAGATTGCCCTCTGACATCCGTACAGGTTCCGTGGCATGATGTACCCATCCCCACACACAAACATGCACACTCCTCATACAAACAGAAACCATACAAAGCATTTGTGGCTTATATTACCATATGAAAATATAAACATACTTTTAGACCAAAATTACAACTAGCCAACAGTGTTCTCGCCATTGGGTGTGCAGAAGGCCTCAGTCCCATTCTTTTAGCAGAATGAGGTATAATAGAAGGTATATATGCTAAATATTAGAGCGGAAAGTGAAAGGATTCCATAGTGTCCCCCTTATCAGGTCCTAGCGATTGTAGCCATCCTGTCTGCTTGGTGCCAGGAGCGTCTTCCATCTGTGTCCAACTGCAGCTCCTTGTTTTACCAGAGAACCTCAACAGCATTTTTTGCAGAGCAACAGAAACTGCCATATCCCATCTAGGGTCTTAACCTCCTTCACAGTGTCATCTAACTAAGGCTTAGAGACAGCTGCATCTGAGCGTCATGATGCAGTCTGGTCCGTGATAGGAGCCCTTTCCATTCCTTTTATAACATGGGGCAGTCTGGAGAGATGAAGAAGTTACAGGAATCAGGACTGAGCTCAGTTGAGTGCTTGCTTAACATGTAGTAAGGACCTAGTTTCTACTCCCAGAACTGCATTAACTGTGTGTAGTGATATATGCCTATAATCCCAGCTCTCGGGCGGCAGAGGCAAAAAGATTAGAATTTCAAGGTCATCTTCATCTACAGAGGAAATTCAAGGCTAGCCTGGGCCATATGAGATCCTGTCTCAATTTTTTTTTCAGGAATCCTTTCAAAAGAGGTTTGTAAAAGGCTTATCTGTCCCCTGTCCTAGCTATAAGCTCTGCAACTGCATAAGGACATTTCCAGACCCTCCTCCAGCACTGGCGTTGACTCTGAAAGTCTGGTCTTTATGTTGCTGGGAAGACGGTGACATCTCCCATCTCCCTGACATGCAGGAGTCAATTTGTAACTCCATTTGGACAAACTGATGAGGAGACAAATAAGATATATATAGGGGTGCCCTGGTTCTTCCCTCTCTATTTGGGTAGCTCCTTATATTCCTTCACCTTGCATGTTCTATTATATTGCTATTTCTTGCACTGCAGACAGTAGATTACTAGGTTCAGAGGTTTTCTTTGCATCTTTCTTTACCTTTCATAGGTGTTCCTAGCCTTTTTCATCATGGGTATTCTTGATGGTTTAATGAAGGCTACGGACTAAAAGGTGAATTTCACTCTTTTATTCAGGAAACTCACAGTACCCTAAAAACACATCTATGAATCCTCCAAGTGAGTGCTCAGATCCCATCTCAGAGCAGTGCAGTGGGGGAACTTGGAGCTTTTCATAGGGAACACTCCACTAAGCCTCAAAGTGAAGGCACAAACGTTATCTGAGACAGATCACCTGGGCTCCTGCTTCAGAAGCCCTTTGACTGGACACTTCAGCTGCTCTCAAAAGTAGGAACACAGAAGCCAGATGGAACATTTGAAATGCTGGCAGGTGAAGGGAAAGGCCATTTTCCATGCTTAAACCTAGCATGGCACCAAGAAGCCTCACCTTCCTGGTATTCTGAGAGAAGCCAGTTTTCCATTCTTATCCAGTCCTTTTTTCCCTCATCTTCCTTAGCCTGGGGCCAAGAACACAATATCCAAACAGCCCTCCACCCAGAGCTAAGGAGCTGTAGGTCTGATCCTGACTCCATCCCTATCCAATGACTAGGATAGTCTACCTCTCCCAATTCAAGATGTCTGGTTTTTGAACAAATAGTTTGACATTCATTTCTCTGACAGGTCTATGGCCTCTGTCAACTCTGTAATTCTATTACTTATTTTATGAATGCTGGACTTAAATATTACTCATGCAATAGCATGGTTTGTGAGCTATTTATGGGTGTATGAGGCCTGTTCCCTGTTAGATGTGCAATATATGTGAGATTAGCAATAAAGTAAGGCATGATAAACAATGTACTTTAAGCTATTTAGCCTGAATATATATTTGATGCTTACCCGTTTTGCATATATAACATGTTAAACACTTAAATCTCTGCCAGTGTTTCATTCTTTATCAAATAGATGTAATACCATAAACAAAGGGGAATGGACCTATAATAATATAAACCTAAGTCTTAGAGGATGTGGGGAAGGGGTAAAAGGGGAGGTAAGTAGTGTCCTGGATTTTCAGCCCATGAGTGAACAAGAATTCACATACAAAGGAAAATAGCATATTTCTAGTCCTTGTTCTATGATATAATTCTTTTTAAAATTAGGTATTGATTATAGGACAATTAATCTCTGAAACATGTTCTTGAGTGCATCTCAGACTCTTATGCTGGGTTTGGGTG